ACAATCAAAAATTTGCTAAATTAATTCAGCGTATTAGCCACATATCAAGTGATACTTACAAATGCTCGAACTGTTTTCCATTGTAGTCTGAAGTCTTTAACTGTCTTTTTTAACGGTCACGTTGCCTAACAATTCTTGTTCGTGGGATTTCATTTGAACCTACGGAATTACAAACCAGTTATTCAAACGTAATTATTGTTTCGAAATAAAAAAAGTTTCTGACTCGCATGATAGTTGAATGTGTATTATATATATATATATATTAGTTTAAAAATTGTTGATAAAAATGAAAAGATATAAACATCAATGTTACGATTATATCAATGATTCTTTGCGATCGATGTTAGATTATTATACTTGTAAATGAATATAATAATTCAGGTAAAATTCACAATAAACTGAAAAGAGAAAAAGAATTTATTAATAGATATAATATATATTATACATATAGATTAATAGATATAATATAGATTAAACATTTAATATTAAATGTTAAATATTAAATAAAATATAGATTAAATATAACATAATTTGTAAATATTTATTAAAACATCGGATCCATGTTATACAGAGTGTTCCATACAACTGAAACTAGCTGTATACAGTTAAAATAATAAGATAACAGATAACTTGAAATAAAACAAGTAAAAATCAAACAGTATCCAGTACCCACTTACAAAATAAGAAAATAATTTAATTTTTTAAACACATTTAATACACCTAGAAAATAGAGTTGAATCTTTTCTTCTACATGAAAAATTTATAATTTTGATTCTATTAATCGATGCGATATTAACACATTTCGGTTCTAAATCGCATAGTTCAAAAGTTATTACAATCAAAAATTTGCTAAATTTGTTAAATTAATTCAGCGTTAATTTAGTCAGATATCAAGTAATACTTACAAATGCTGGAACTGTTTTCCATCGTAGTCTGAAGTCTAACTGTATTTTTTAACGGTCACGTTGCATAACAATTTTTGTTCGAGGGATTTCATCTGAACCTACGGAATTACAAACCAGTTATTCAAACGTAATTATTGTCTCGAAATAAAACAAATTTCTGAATCGCATGACAGTTGAATGTGTATTATATATATATTAGTTTAAAAATTGTTGATAAAAATGAAAAGATATAAACATGAATGTTACGATTATATCAATGATTCATTGCGATCGATGTTACATAGATTATTATACTTGTAAATGACTATATTAATTCAGGTAAAATTCACAATGAATTGGAAAGAGAAAAAGAATTAATCACAGTTAAGAAAAAAAGCTTTCCTCTATTGAAAATTTAATTTCTAGATAGAAGTTAAATTCATTACAATTAAATTTGAATTAAAATCATTAGTTTCTAGATAGAACACTTCTGAATTGAAATGAAACGAACAATTTTGCGAATTTGGTACTTGATGAACCTAGAGAAAAAAATATCAATTGCGAAAGTTCGAAAAGAAGAGTGCACAATGATTCCAATTCACTTGTAGCGCCTAGAGTGCTTCGAGTCCGAGTATCGACCACAGACTTGTACAAGCCGCAAGTGGCTGTGCGCCTAGCATCGAAGTCTATCGATATTCGATGTTACACTTAGCTAACTGATCTTAGGAAAGATCTTCCACTTTGACTTTAGCGACGCGTTTCTCTTTTTCTGTAATTATCAGTTACTTGATCTGAAATTGTTCGCAATTACTTATGAACTGTTTCTATAAAGCACAATATATAATTGGTAAAAAAAATAAAGTTAAAAAAAAGAAATACTGAAAGTGTTAAAAATGTCTAGAAGCAACAATGAAAATTTTTTATGATGAGTTGTTCATGGATGCACTATGTAGTCTGTTCTGAAGACAACGATATGCAGATGAGTGATGATGAACTTAACGACAATGATAGTATCATTATTCCCACACAATTTCGTTAAACGAAAATGTTACTGAGGCGCCCACGCCTCAAGTAGTTTTCTAAAACATTTTTAACACTTTCGGTACTACTGCCACCTATCGGCGGCGACCACGAAACGTTCTCTGGGTATTACTGCCGCCGACTGGCGGCACCTTCGGAAAGTTATGTGGGCATGATTACTCTCTATAGTACGCATTACTTTACAATTCTGTGTTTAAAATTCCCGGCTGCTCTAATCGTTCCATTATATAATTAGTAACAGTCAACAGCGTGCCTTAATTATATATGTTCTATAATATGTAGATAAGCTACGGAAAACAAATTGGTATGTTTGCTTATATCGTAAATTTTTTGAATGTTTTACTAATTTAGTTCCCCATAGGTATGATTTTAAAACGTTAAGCGCCAAGCCTGTTTTGTCTGTCTTTCTATCTGATCCGCGAGATAAGATCCCGTCGAAATCGGCTTTCGGCCGAGGATTGGTTTAGGTTACGACAAAGAAGTAGAGACATTTTCGAAATGTTTTTTAAACACGTTAAATGCCGCGTCAGTCACCCATAACTGTCGCGGTCCGAATGAAAAGTTTAGTGTCAATCACGATCGAGATTTCTATGAATGACGCAAAACACGGTTTACGCTGCCGTGCAGTGCAACCACTCTTGTGGAAAACTTCCCCGTACCACGAATGTATAGCCGCAGCCAACTCCTCCGTACCGAAAGGGTTTATATCTACATAAATCTTTTTATTTAAAATAATTCTTTTATTTATCATATTTTTTCTCTTCATAATCTCGTGGGGTTCATTA